TAGAATAACGGTTAACAGAGAGGAGTAGGGGTTGTGGGGAAGATTAGGAGTGAACTAATGGGGATAAAACTATGCTATCTACCCTAAGTGAATCATTGTGCAGTATATGCATGTATTAAAACAACACACTGTACCCCACAAAAATAAATATAAATAAAATAAAAGTAAAAAAATAATAATAATAAATCGGAGAACTGACACACCAAAACTGTCATTAGTTCTCTCAGGCTGAATGGTCAATTCTTCACAATCCATCAGGCAGAGGTCTTGATTTGGTTCCTTCATTTCCCTAACCCTATCAACGCACATGAAACTACCTATAACTGGCAACATAATACATCTTCATCCCAAATTATTGACAGAAAATATAATTCTAGTTTTTTCCTGTCTAAGCCTTAGCAAATGCCTGTGTGTAAGAAACTGATGAAGGCTCACCCTATACATTCAAACTAAACCAGAGATTCATGCTTAGAAAACATTGATTTGCATTATACTGAACTGTTCTTACTATGCTGTACTTTCATGCTATGCAAAGGAAACAAAAGAACAAACTGACATAGGATGAAAATCAGGAAAACAGTTTTATGGAAACCAATAAAGACGAACACTCTAGAGAAGAAGAATAAATACCATGGTAGTCATTAAAAAGCATCCACTAGCTTTAGAAACAAAGTAGTCACTGGTGACTATGGAAAGGACGGTTCTCAGGAGTAAAGAGCACAGCGATCAGATTGCAGAGAACAGAAGAGTGAATGAGAACAGAGAAAATAGACAATTGTCAAAGAAAGAAAGAAAAGCAATCATGAAGTAGAGCGGCAGTATTCTATTATTAAGAAAGGACACACTTGAACATGTTTATATATTGATGATGAAGAATTTGAGGTGGAGGGGATATACAAGGCCTTGGAGGAAGTAGAGTACAGGACATAGAGCACAGGTGAAAGGATTAGCTCCAACAGAAGAAAGAATAACTCCTGCAATAGGATGGAAAGAATAGAAGCAAAGCTGTAAATGGCTCCAAAAAGATTTAGAGGTATGAAGTTAAGATGTTGATTCAGGTGTAAGAGCTCTATTTTGTTTGTCAAGTAGATAAAGAAAAATAAGGGCAAGGTGGTAAGATGTGGGGATAGTAGAGAGTAAAAAAGAGAAAAGTGGTTGCTGGAAAATATGCTGACTAAAAAAAATACGATTTCTGGGCAAAGCAATAAGTCTACATAAGTTTGAAGACTATGAATATGTGCCCGCAACAAACACCAGGCACTCGTGCTTCAATTTGGATCAGACTGAGTCAAGGTAAAGATTTTGATATGTAAATGAGACAAAAGGATGAGGACCACAGCAGTGGAATAGAAGACTGACAAGAATACAGCTGAAATGATGGACAGTGAAATCTAAGCTAGTTAGGGAAGGTACTGATGGGAAGAGGCTAGCCAATAAGAAGAAA